CCCCCTCTCACTAATCCTTAAAACTTCGACCTACCTCCCTCCACTCACTAATTTCTCTAACAGTTCTATCAAATTCTAATCCATATTACCTATCTTCTCACTCACTAACTAACTTGCCCTCCTTTTTCCCGCCACTAATTTTCCCTGCATAAACCCCTTCCTAAAACTCAGTCCCTAAGTTTTGGGAATCAACACGTGCCATTGATCCGCTACGTCCTGCCACAGTTAATGCCACTAGCTGCTCTCCTCAACACCACCAATGTCCTCCTTCTGCTGAACAGCTTGTGCGGCGTCCCGGCTCATCGTTTTATTTGAAGCGAAGCTCTTGTTGGAAAAATAAAGTGCTGGTATTCTTCCCTGTTTTCCGCTGCTGCAGTCAAGGACCACGTGAGGACCGAAACATTTCTTACCATTTAAAATAATTCTATTAATTTGCAAATTTTGTAATTCTCATCTCTTACCTTCCCTTTTTGCTCCTCTCTTTTCATCCGCTGTTTATATACCTTTCTGTCAATATACTTCCTTATATAAAACTCTCAAATTAAGCTTATCCGAGAATCCCCAACTACGCAGCTTAGGGTATAGATCTAGCGATCTTCGTAAATGCTAAGCCTCGATACTAATCTTGGACAAGAACTGCAATGAAACAGTCAGCACAATGAATCCCTAATGTAAATAATTTATGTAAGTCGCGAAGGAAAATGTAATAGGCTTTCAAATAATTGGCCATCGCACCAACCGACGACGTGATGATGCGTTTCCTGCACAGTTCCAGGTAAGTTTTTACCACATACGGCACTGATTTTGCCGGCAGATGCTTCTAGCTGAAAGAACTGAGACTGGCCACCACGACTGTCAGAAAACATCCCTTTGAAATTTCAGCTCCCTAGCTTCATACCAGCCAGAAGTTCTCACATGCCCGTACGTAACTGCCACGCGTACCTGGGCGCAGAATTTGAAATCATTACGTTTTAAATGGACGGAGAACATCCCTTTAAAATTTCAGCTTTCCAGCTTTGCTGCTTCTTGAGTTAGCAACTTACCCGCCAAAAACTCCCATAGGCCCGTATGTGGTAACCACGCACACCTGGGGGGGCTGAGTTTGAAATCATCAAGTTCTATGCAAACAGGAAATATCTCCTCAAAATTTCAGCTTTCTAGCTTCTCTGGTTCCTGAGTTAGCAACTTACCGCCAAGAACTTTAACGGGTCCGTACGTGGGAACCACATGGGTAAGGACGCTCACTTTGGAGATAGGGTCCGTATATGCATTTAGATTAAGTTGCCAAAGTTTCAGCCTTCTAGCTTTTGTAGGTTTCGAAATGAAAAATCGATACAGACGCACACACAGACAGACACACACATACAATCACAGAGAACCTCTCGACAATATGCTTTTTGCTATGTAAAGTATGTGAAAAACGCACAGCGGGCCGGGTGTAACTTACATCTTTCTCCATATCCACTTCCTTCTTTTTTGCATTTATTGCATTTGTGTATTTCTTTTCTTCGAACGTAATCTGACATTGCGTCAGAAGTGCCCGACGAAACAGCGACATATCTTGCGATTCTTTTGCTTCTTTCATCACTTGCTTCTTGCAAAGTTCGCTGTAAATGTGTGTCACGCGATAAATAACAGTAATAAAAATGCCCTTTTTTTATGCGTCGTGTGCTGTGTAATAGCAGTACAAAACGCATATTGTCACGGGGTTGTCTGTGTGTGTGTGTGTGTCC